TAGGTCTGAGTGTCACATTGTATAGTGCCTTGGAGCCCAGAAGAGAGCTCTAGACCCCCAGAGACTGGACAGATGGTTGTGAGCCACCACATGGGTGCTGGGGATGACCCTAGGTCCCTTGCAAAAACAGCCAGTGCTCTTAACTGCTGAGAGCCTGCTCTTAAGCCTTCTGGGTCTCTCTCTCTCTCTCTCTCTCTCTCTCTCTCTCTCTCTCTCTCTCTCTCTCTCTCTCTCTCTCTCTCTCTCTCTTGTAACATGTGAACTAAAGAATATTAATAATGATAGTATATATCTATATAACTATTTAACAATCCCACCTTTTTTTTTTCCTTTTATTGGGGCAGAGTCTTGTGTAACCCACTTGGCTTCAGAATCACTGCGTAGCTGAAGGTGACCTTCAGTACTGGATACTTCTATTGCCTTCTTTTGCCAAGTGCTCAGACTATAAGTGTGTGCCACCATGCACAACCAGTTGAACCATATCTAAAATGATTCTCATTACATCAGATTATTAATTTCACACATTTTCTTTACAGTTTCTTTCAGCCACAACCATCATCAGTGTTTCATGAAACCACATTGTTGTTGTGTAGAAACGCCAGTGACCAATCCTTTAGGGCATCAGAAATCTATCATTTCCATGGTCTGCACCCATCCACTCACCTACCACCAGTTGACTCTTCACTTACTCAATAAGCATTTCTCATTTGCATCACACTACATGTTGGGTAATGGTCTAAGTTCATGGTACTCCCCTTTAGAGTATGACTGACACTGTAAAAGAGGTCACAGACATACAATGTCACTCATTAAGTGACCACACTAATACATAATTTAAAAGCCTTGATAATGCTGTAAAGGCCCATCATAGATGTCTTGAAGGCATACAACATGGAGTCTTGTCTGGCTGGAGGGAGAAACAAAGAGAGGCCTTCCAAAGAGCCATGAGCACGAGTTGCCTGCACTGATGGGTTGGGTGAGGATGGGGGCACTGTGTCAGGTGCTGTGTTGGACCTGCCTTCTGGTGGAACGATAATTCCTAAGTTACTTTCCCCAAACTCTTCATAGAGAAAACACCATCATTTCCTCTGTGGGAAAGAAGGAATTCAGAAACATTTGGATCTGATCTCAGGGAAGCATCTGCTGACTTCGCCAGCACACTTCTGATTTACCCAGGACTTCACCTGTGCAGCTTCTCCGGCTCCTTTAACTTCATACCTTGAGAGAGTCGCTTAACTTCCCTGGGTCTCAGATTTCTCATCCATAAAACACGAGGCTGCAGTTTTATTTATATGGTTTTTAAAGGTCTCTCTCATATTCAGCATTCCTTGTTTCTAGAAATAAACTAGAGTTAACCAGGGAGGGGCCTAAGTCCTACCAAGCAGACTTGCAGCTTTATTTGAAAACCAAAAATCAGCTTGCATTCAGAGTACAAAAAAAAATGTCACAGGGAGGGTAGTTATTGAAATGCATGTTGGATGGAGCCAAAAATAGCTAATGCATCGGCAGTTAATGCAGGGAAACTGCGATGGAGTGTTTCCTTGGCAACCGAGTAACTCAAAGGTAAAGTAACTGGGTTTGATCAAAGACTAGTTTCTGCACTTCTCTACTCTCTATGGGTTTTAATTTTATTATAATTCAGTATTAAGGGGAAAATGGTTGACAAATTCATTTCACTGAAAACAAAGGTCACCGCCCTCCCCCCCCCCCCCAAAAAAAAAAAAAAAAAGAAAAGGCCAAAACAGTTGAACCAAACAAGCAAACCCTCTACCATGATAAGTCTGATCACCCTGTGTGCCCTTGAAGGCAGGCACATGGCCTAGGACACTGGCTCCTTCAAGCTACTAAATTATTTGGGAGAATCAACACTGAAATTCACATGAATCTGACATCTGTCAATCTGGATGTAAAGCTTTGGATTTCAAACCAAAGCCAGCTCTTTGCAGAGAAGGAGAAAGGACAATGGTGCAGATGCTTAGCATGCACAGTCAATACTGCAGAGGTTGCTAGGCAACAGCAGAAAGGCTGTCAAACATCCCCTGGTGCATCCAATGGAATAGGAGCAACCCAAGTCACTGCAGAGAGGTGAGAGTCTGTGCAATCCTGGAAGATGTGCTCAGTTTGACATCGTTTAAAAGGTGAAACACAAAACATAAATCCTTTGGTCATGGTCAGAGAGGAATGATGGACATTTTCCTCCAAGAGTAGTTTAGTTCTGAATACATTTTCAATAGGACCAAATCCCTACAAGTGAGTGTGCCCAGGTTGCATGGAGGCTCTGAGTGTGCCCAGGTTGCAGGGAGGCTCTGAAACTGAGTGTGCCCAGGTTTCAGGGAGGCTCTGAAAGTGAGTGTGCCCAGGTTGCATGGAGGCTCTGAAACTGAGTGTGCCCAGGTTGCAGGGAGACTCTGAAACTGAGTGTGCCAAAGTTGCATGGAGGCTCTGTGCAAGGTCTGCAAGTTATTGTGACCTGATTCAAAATGGAGCTCTGAGTGCCAGAGGGTTGATATGGTGCCCGGGCTGAAGCCTGGGTTATAGTAGGTTTTAGCAAACATTCATTCTCAAGGTCATTGCTATGAAACTCCTCAGGCCTGTGGTTCTGGAGTAAGAGTAAGATTTTAATCTGCAGTCCCCCCTTTGTCCTTCTTCTTTCAGGTGACAATTTCACTTTAACTCCAAAGAGACTGGCAAAGAGAAGTCAGGATTTGACAAAGGGTCAAGTAGCTTTCCTTTTTATCCCCCCAGCAGTAGTGTTTAGTGAGCAAACATTGATCACGGGTCATTAATTTACACAAACGTCCTTGGAAAAGCCAGAAGATACATGAAGAATGGGTGCTAGGTCTGATTCAAAGAATTTGAGCTGTAATTAGGACTTAAACAAGAGGAGGGTCTGATTGATGACACTAACAGAAGCAGACCCAACCGAAACATGCTGTGAACACGGAAGCGGAATGATAAATGGCCTTCTAAAGCCCAGCCGAGGTCGGGCGGGGTGGGCGAAATCTCACCTAAGAACAATCAGTTGCCCCCTCATTGTTCATAGACAGGGCCAGCCACTTGTTTGTTGTGTCTGCTCAAAAGAGATCTGAATGTACAAGCTGCGAATTTCCTGAATTTGACCACACAGCGCCTTTCCTTAAAGGCCTTGCAAAATTACAGAAAAGTCAGCACAGGGCAGGGATGAGAGACCAGAGTTACTGAAGACTCTGTTGGATGCCCACATATCTGGCCAAGGTCTCTCAGCTATCCCACACTGTCCTTTAGAACCCCCTGGTCATCCACGATTTTTATTACATACTTGAAGGATCACGTGTACACTGTGAAGTGAACTCAAGGTCTGAAGCCTTGTCTGGGCTTCTTGATTGGCTGCCAACATGGACCTAGGTCTTCACCTTGCTCATTTGATACAAACGGCTCCGTTAGGGATAGACACCCCCTGTGATTCTTCCAGCCTGAACACTCGCTCATCTATAAAACTGCAAAAAATAGCAACACATTTGGTCTCGTGTATCCCCAAAGGTAAAGAAGACTGAAGAAGAAAGCAGAAGCTAGAGATGAGATGCTGCCAAATGCCCAGAATGTGATGTGAAAAAAAGCAGGGGAACTTTGTCAACGGAGAGGAGAGAAGAAGTCAGAACAAGAGTGGGAATGGATCTCCTCCACCAGGCACCACAGCCCTAGATGGGCGGCATCTAGCCCATCCATCATACCCGCATCTCTTTGGAAGGCCCCCTTCTCCCCCTCCTTCCTCAAGCTTCCATCCATTTTCCTATGTCAGAGACATAATGTGTATTTGACAGCTGATAATTTCCAGAGTCATCGGCCCTTTAGTTGATGAAACGCACGGCACTTGGGGGGTTTTCTGGGAGTTTACGAACATCAGGACACTCTGGACAGGGCTTCTAAAATATTACACGTAATGAGGGAAGAAGATAAACAGTTTTTCTATCTGAAAAAAAAAACTTTTTAACTAACTGTCTGGTCTTCAGGAGGGGTGACTTCAAGAACAGTTTTATTCTCTTGGTTATTCGTGTCTGTGTAATATGCTTGGTATTACAGTGGAATGTGCACCACATTTCCTAAAGAAACAAAACGCTGCCTAGTTTATAATGACTAAATAAATGTGATTCGTGCAAATGGCCCCTGATTAGCAGAAGCATAACAACAATAACTCAGCCATCTTTCATTATCTTAAGAGTTTAAATTTTATTACATTAGCCATTTTTGCATTCATTTGGCACTTAACTCTTTTACAATTGATATACATATATCAAAAATGTCTTGGTGAGTTTCCAAAAACATTATAATGCATGTTTAAAGATGTGTCCAAGTCCATTGTGGCATTTTTTTCTTAAGCTCTACAAAACTCAATAGAAAATTGTCCCTTCCAATGTTATTAGTTATCTTATTGAAGACCTGGACTCCTTTCCTAGTTTGGTGAAGATGACTATGATGAAGGACTTTTAGATTTCTTAACTGTGTAGAAACACTACATTTGCTATGATGGTAGAATCTAAAGGATTCTAGCCATCTAGCTCTTAGTGAAATCGTGTCTTTACTGTGGCTTCATAAAGTTTGGAAGGGACAAGTATAGATGGCACATAAGAAAAAACAGTGTAATGGAGTAAGTGTTCCTTCTAGAATCTAGAAAATGTAACAAATCCCAGGGAGCGGAGTCACCACCATCCGGAATCAGAGGAGAGGAGCTTGCATCGTAGCCTAGCTGATGGAATTTTGTTTGATCCCATTGACCTAGACGTTTGGAGCTAGTTGTGGCCTGCACTTTGGATGGTTGCCCCCGAGAATCACTTCTGATGGACAGCTGAATTATGCCCCAAGTGTCCTTCTGACTACTCGTTTGGGCAAAAGAATCTAAAACAAACCTGTGTACCATTGAAGACATAGTGCACTCCTGGACTGGTCACTAAAATACAAGAAAATTAAACTCCCACACTTTAGTGGGACTGTGAACAAGGAGATACTCTGGAATGTTCTCTTACCTTTACGGCTACCAGGATCTTATCCTGCTCAGGACGGAGGTTATAGCACTCAGCGAGGAAGACTTTTCCAAAGGCGCCTTCCCCCAGCTCCCTCTTGAGAACGATGTTGTGCCGCTTGATATGCTGAACAACTGAAAGAGAAAGCACCCGACTCGTCACTCGACAGCGTCCCTAGGACTGGCCACACTATGTGTCTATTCCCATCCCTTCTGCTCTTTCACTGTGTTTGGTGGAGGAACTGCACTGTTTGCACCCGCGTAGGCAGCAGGATTCCTGTACAGCTCCTCTGTGGTTGCAATGTTTCGTAAAACAAGAGTGGTGATCAAGGTTTTGATGGGAATTAGAACCCCCCCCCCCAGTAATTCACGTGTTTCTGATCTCTGTGAGCCTCGGGGACTCTGAGCAGTGCTGTTCAGAAGTAAAAGGACACAGAGTAACATCCAGTTTGCAAGCAGCATCTGGACTTCAGAGGAGGGAACTGTGCCCATTAGGAGAGTGCCGTGTAAAAGCAAGGGCTGCCCAACTTAAATCTCGACTTTACTCCATGGCTGTCACGTCCTCACTGGGAATTAAGCTGCCATTTTTGTTCACTCCACACTCCAATAAGACCCAGGCAAGCAAGCATTTAACTGATTTGAGATTTGATTAACACATTAATTGGTTTCCTCCAAATAGGAGGGAAGCTGGTGGCAGGGTAGTTAAAGCCACTGTTGCTTTCATTGTCTTCATAACTACTGTTGAGGACAGTTTTCCCGTGTAGAAATTGAGAGCAGAAGGCAGACCTTTCCTTTAGGAAATGGGCATCAGTATTTGCTGACTTCGTTGTGATCTGGGGCATAGATTATCTGAAAATGTCCTTTGCTAATGTATTACCTCCAAACACAGTAGATGTCTCTTTTATACTTTGGGTCACAAATAAAGATTTTGTGATTGTCAGTATAGTCTGATTGTCATTATAGTCTACGTACTAAATATTACTGAAGGATCTTGTTTCACAAGTTTGATGATACTCTCAGTTAACTAAAGTAATAGTACTAAGTATGTATGTAACAAAGCAGCCTGATTCTCTGAAAATTCAAGAACGTGGGTAAAACAAATAAACAAACGAAACAAATCAGTTACAAAAGCCACAATCTGACGTTTCCACACTGTTGAGCTAATAAGAAACTCTTGCCATTTTCCTCCTTGAAAACATCAGGGAGTATCCTAATTTGCATCTTTCTATTTCTCTTGAACAAGCCAGGAAGACCCGCCCATCGCGAAGCCATGCCTATCGCGAAGCCCGGTCCACGGAGCTTGCCACCCCAGCAGTGCTCTTATTCCAGCCAGTGCTCAACCCTTCCAGTCCCTGCTCAATTCTTGCAATTCCACAAGCTCCCAAGAGCACTCAGACTTTGCAGCCTTCTCCGATGAAGGCCACGCCCTGGCTTCTCCCAGCAGCTCAACACTCTGATGGCGGTAGAGCCCAGCTATTCTGAAGCTTCTCTTGCATCCTCTCTGCCCTGTCCTTGCTGACGTCTTGAATTCTCCACTCACCCAACCAAACACCTGCCTCACATTTTCTCTCTCGGGTCTTAGAGAATCGGGAACTTGCCTGAGCTTCAGATGTCCGGACACCAGGCTGCTGTCTGCCCCTTGGGTTTTGGTGGTGAAGAGTTCACAGGTGCAGGGAGATTTGGGTTAGCTCTTGGCTAGACTGTAAGCTCAAAGTTCCTGGGAGTGGGGGCCTTCGAGCAGGAGGGAAAGTGCTTCACCTGGGTCCTGTTCCCCTTTTACCCCATTTTCCTGAAAGGCCCTGCGATCGATCGTTTGCCTAATTTCCCTCAAGATATCCCAGAGGGGCAAGCCACGGACTCCAGGACGAGTAAGTTAAGTGTCCATGGTGCAAGCAGGGAGAAGTCTCACCTGCTTCTTTCCTCTGAGATCGGTGACCCTCGTCTTTTCACTTTGGAAACTTGAGGAAAAACCACTGCAAACTCAACATTAAAAACTAAATGAGGGTCAGTAAGATGCCCTGGAGAGTAAGACCAAGCCTGATGAGCTGAATTTGAATCCTTCAGTCCACATAGTGGAAGGGCAGAGCTGACTCCTGCCTGTTGTGCTCTGCCCGACACACAGACACACATACACAGACACACATACACAGACACACACACAGACACACACACAGACACACACACATACACACACACACATCAATTAATAATGAAATGTATCAATGAGTAAGATTCCCAACTCCCTCATAAACTGCTCCCTTTGTTAGAAGAAAACCTCAAGACAATGGTTGACTCTGCCAGGTTTTCTTTGAAATTTAAACTGTTCCTGTGCCCCACTCCCCTGTCCCCAAGGAGATATCATTGACGGAATTTTCCAGACTGGAAATTTGGCGCCCTTGGTCATTTGCCTCATGAGCAGTAGAAAGGAGACAATTTTCAGTATTATATTGCAATCGTATTATCGGCAGTGAAAATAATGCATTGGGTCACAAAGTGGCTGTCCTGGCTTAACTTGCAAGCTGCCTCAAAAACATTTAAATTCAATTCTTGGTATAGATTCCCCCCAGAAGTAAAAATGTTATGCACACACAAAGGCAATAATGTATCAATCCATGTCCATATCCATTATTACTGAATCTAAAACTAATAAAGATATAAATAACTATAGCTCTATCCACTTAAGGTCTCAAGCAGGAAATGTGTCTTTCCCATTTCCAGGATAATGACATTTTGTAGAAACCTTGGCCCCATGGACGCAGCCTGCCTAACACATGGGTCTTTTAGTGATCGCTATTGAGTGCCCTGCTTATGCCAAGAACTAAGTGACCTGATGTTTCTTTTTTCTTTTTTCTTTTTTCTTTTTTCTTTTTTTGAAAAAGTATTTAGAGTTCTGGGGAGGAAGATGCTGAACAGGAACGGCGGTTTCCATTGGGGGCACTCGAACCCTTCTGTTTACCCACAGTCCCAGGTCCCAGTCTACTCTGGAAGTGGCATTTGTAGACTGAACTCTGTGGTAGCAGGCAGGCTTTACCACCATCAACATCACCCCGATGATGCTGCAGTGAAATAGACATTTTATTGGAGACTGTTCTTCAGACTTCCACACTGATCATCTGTAAGCGTCTGAATATCTCATGATGAACCATTTTATTTTATTAGGAAACTGCCAAACAAACACAAAACACGAAAGTGACAAGCAGAATATGCCGTCACATGATTGGCAGTAGCTGGGTGCTAACTATCTCAGCCTATGGCAGCACATAGAGTAGGGGAAAATGTGCCCAGCTTTTGGAAGTCAGATTGTGTGAAATTGGAAATAGTGCTCTGCATTTTCATCTACATTTTTATCCCAATGTAAATTAGTACTAAATGGAAAATAGACATCCAAGATCACAGAAGCAAAGCACCTGGACAACAAAAGACTAAGTAAACACAGATTGTTCTGTTAGTGAAGTGAAGCGTGCACCAATACTGAGTCACCCTCAAGTTTATATCAAAACTAAAAAAAAAAACAAAAAACAAAAAAACAACCCAGTGTGCGTTATCATCAATTAATTTTCCTACCCCACACAGCGAGGTCAAAAGCCACATCTATTTAACAGATGACATCACAGCTAATTGACTTCCGGATGGTCGTAGAGAATCCACTTGTTTGTGCTTTTACAAGCATGGTTCCCACTGGAAGGAGGGAAGAGGCGCCTGCCTCATGCTCACTGCTGTTATGGGCCAGAGGATGTGTGGAGACTTGGGAGAGGCACTGGTCCTCGGGACAGTCTGCCAGGGCATTCCTACCTCCATCTTCACATCAAGCAAAAAGAAAGGGTTCTGACGAGCTAAATAACTCACCCAAGAGTCTACAGCTAGGAGCAGGAAGGTTCAAATTCTTTCACTATGACACTGTCTTTAATCTTCTGATAAAAAAACAAACTGAAAGAAACAGGGTGAGTTTTGCTTTGCCTACTTGGGGAATCACTGGTCTACTTTTGTCAATTTAATTCAACAAACTATTATTAAACACCTACTAGAGATGCCTGGGAATTTTCCCAGTAACAAGAAATGGGATGAGTACATTATCCTTATCCTTGAGGAGCTTACAAGCTAAATGTGCAATACCATCTACTTACATCTTTGTTCACAAAATCCTTCATGTATTGAATAAGATATGAAGAGAGACGAACCTCAAAGAGCAAATCCAGTCAGGTAAAATACTATCAACAGCTAAGACAAGGAGCTAAGTAAATGAAACTATGCAGGTTTTGTGTCCCATATCACATAGTTAGGAAGCCTAAGCCAAAACTTGACTCTACCTTTCCTTGCTGGAGAAGACCAAAGACCAACATAATTCTAAAAGTTTAGGCTTGATAAAGTAAAAAGCATAGACACTCCACTTGTAAAGTAAAATTCTCATGGCAATTAATTTCCAAAGGAATAAGCCAAGGTGATTTTTATAAGGGATTAGGCCAATGATTGATGCCCTGGACTCTGTCCCTACTGTAAGTAGGGAGTTTCCTAAGAAGAGCCCCCATGGCAGAGATCAGTGAGAAATTGAGCATACAGGACTGGAGAGATGGCTCAATGGTTCAGAGTATTTACTGCCCCTGCAGAGGACTCAAGTTCAATGCACATGGCAGCTCATAACCTTCTGGAATATCAGCTCCTGGGAATCTAATACCTTTTTCTGGCCTCCTTGGGCATGTATATGGTACACAAACGTACATGTGGGCAAAACACCCATATGTATTTTTAATTAAAATTTTTTAATGAAATAAATATACAACACAGAAGGCAACTTTGGCCTCAGCTTTGTGCAGGGAATCCACATAGTCTCAATAATATAACCCACGAAAGTAAAAGCCTATGGGTACATACAAAATTACTTTGGGCATGAAGTTGACAAATGGGTGTAATTTCTCTGAACCCACTGCTGGGCCTAGACCACATTAGGTTACCAAAATTCTACATGAATAAATAAAAGCATGAGAAAGAGAAAATAATGGTGGAAAGAGCTTGAAAGTGGGGACAGAGGGAGAAAAAGGACAAGGAGGCAAAGTGTGGGTGTGTCCCAAATAACAGCAGGTGATCCAGTATGGAAGGAGGGTGGAGCTGGGGCACCCAGCGCCTTGAATTCAGATGGG